CAACTTAGATTCACAAAGTTTTCCCAAAAGATGCTTGGATCTCAAGTTATGATTTTGTGAATAGAGGTCCAAAAACTTTCTAACTTAGTGAAATTTTGCCCTAGTTTAGGCAGGATTTTGACCTATCTTCATAGAAACTTTTAACATAGTTCCAATTGTAATCTCAAAATGCATTTCAAATATGGATTGTAGAGAATGTTACAAGCTTTCCAAAATATCCAAGAACTCTCCAAGATCATTTGTGGTTAAAGAGAATCGAAAGTTTGAAAATGGCAAATTATCACTTTTGGCCAAGGCATTTTGCACATTGCTACAACTTGCAAATTTGTCCAAACCTTGCTTGTACTTGGTTTCAGGTTCTAATCTCTTCTACACTAAAAAATTGAATGCAAATACAATGGTTAATGGCATTTTTTTGTCTTGGAAGCTTTGTACAAAGGTTTAATCTAAAAATGGCATAAAGGTAACATTGCCACTTTGATAAAGCTTGCTTTATGTCAAATTGTTTATCTCGAGCTTTGGACCAAGCCTTTTGCTGCAAACAAAGTTCACTAATATCAGGAAAAGTTCACCAACTATGTGCAGCTAGAATACAGGCTTGTACAGGCCTTGGCATTGTCAACTTCAACTTTTGCTTAAAAAACAAGTAACTTGTAAAAGTCCACATAACTTTGTAATCTGATAAGAGCAAGCTTTGTGAACATTTCAAACAAGTTCAACACATTGTAGCAAGTAGAATACACGAGCTACAAGCCTCTCAAACACCCAAATACACCAAACACTCCATTTCTGCCCAAAACAGGGCAAGCCCTGCAGAACTCAAGCCATCTTCACATTGCCTTGTGCGTTTTGCTTGAAACCACTTCAAACACACTCCATACAACATACCTAAACTGTCCAAGCACCTGTCCAGTCACTGTAACTCCATTTTCACACTCCACCATTTTTGCTTTGAAGCTTTGCAAGTTGAGTTCTACAAGCATATTCAGGCAAGTTCAAGGCAAGCCAAGCATTGGGAAAGGTTGAGTGAACTTCAGGCAAGCTAACACGACCTTCAGGCCTCATCCAAAACCCCTACATTGCCATATTCGAACTTGGCTGAAACAGGTATTTGTCAAACTTCTATCTCCTTATTTAGGAATCATTAGGCTTAGGTTTGTGAAGCAAAAATGTAGCCCTTAATGTCCTTGAACTGTACATATGCATAGAATTCATTTATGTTAACTGAGCTAGGAGAATTTAGATGTTGAAGTTGCTGAATTTTTTAGGTCAGAAATTGGGGGTGATAAAATTCTCCCTGGTTTCTTAGAGTTAGATCAAGTTTTTTATATGGTTAGAATCGTGGTTTAATGCTCTATAAGTTTCACGTTGTGAGTTTTTGATTTCATGCAAGAACAAGAGAGAACAGGTTGAAGATGCAAAATGCGTGTTTTTTATCTCAAGGTCAGGGACGAAGTTCAGCTTGGGCTGGGCCTGGCCTGCCTTGCTTTTGACACCCCCATCCTGCTTTTTGCACCCCCTGGCCCATTTTCTTTATTTGTGCATATTTTTCATTTCTTTTTTTATTTTCTGACTTTATTATTTTTTCTTGAACATTTAAAATCACAAAAAATATTTTCTTTGATTTTGGCATTTTATCATATTTTTATTTTTATTTGCATAAGAAATGATTATTAGGTTAATATTACTTTATTTTCTTAATTAAAACTTGTAAATAATATTAAAATACTTACATATTTTATTTTATTATATTATACATGTAGAATAATATTTTCTCACTTATTTTATTTTTTAATATTTTGTATATATTATTTTTATTATTTCTTGGTACATAAATGAAATAAAATAAATAATTAGAATATATTTTCTATTAAACCAAAACTAGGGTTTCCACCCTTTCCAAAAAATAATCATTAATATTTTTCTTATTTTTGGGATATAAATAATTTATTTTAAATACATAAAATAAATACAAAAAAAAACATCCTTTACATATTTATGTTTATTTGTACATTTAAATATTTGTCTATTTATTTATTTGTGCAATACTTCAATTTGGTTGTAATAATAGTTTTAGGGTTTATTTTTGAGCAATATCTCCTTATTCAAACTTGTACCCCCTCCCCATATCAATGTTGTAATAGTCTTAGATTTACTTTTAAGCATTTTATCGCTTTCAAATGCCATGATAGTAAGATTAGAGTTTGTATGATAACCAAAAATCAAAACAAATAGCATGACTAATACAAGACAAAAATGCATGAAAAATGACAACACAATGCACACAAGCACCCCTAGGGTTTCATCCACTTGTTGCCTTAAAAAATGGCCATGGTATGCATGCTAGGTATCTTGGCAAAACAAAATCAAAACAAAAAGATCATAGTCCCTCGATGACGCTATCTTGGTTGCCTATACAAAAATGATCTAGTCACTAAAAAAAACTTACTAAGATACTTAGCACCATTGCTATCATGGTCATACGATGACCCACGCCTGTCCCGTTTAACATCCAAACACAAGGTTGTTTACCAAACACAATGGTAAAACAACAATGTCAAAGGGTTAAAAATGTGTAGGAAAGATCTTTGAGTAGGGTAGACAACTCCTAGTTACTTGATCATTTGCAAACCATCCTTGCTAATTTCAAAAACACACACACAATTTCAAAACATTTCCAAAACAAACTTTCAAACATTGAAACATTTTTCAAAAGACAAACACCTCTGTATACATTCAAACAAGAATTATTACAAAGGTTGCCTAAACAAAGGCCTCTTTTCAAAATATTTTCAAAACCATACACAAAAGCATCATTTCAAACAATTGAAAAGCAAAAGCAAGTGATCTAAACAAGTAACTAAGAGCCCATGGAAAACCATGGATGAAAAGGGTGCTAGCACCTTCCCTTTTCATAATCTACCCCCCGAACCTAAGAAAACATCTCAAAGGTCTTTCCCGTGCTTTTTGACCTTTCCTTTGGATAAAATAAAAAATCGGTGGCGACTCTTGCTAAACCGAAACATTTGCGAACACAAACGCAAAACCTCAAGTCAGTTCTCCCACCGTATCACAACAATGCTCAGCAACTTTAGAGGCACATACATGAACTGTCCAAGTTCACACATCATAGGGACATGAATCAGAAGAAAAACAAGTCTCACAAATAAAAACTAAGAGAACCAGAGTAACCAGAGTTCTCCATAAAAACTCTAGACAAGATGTTAGGACATCTGGGATGACATCATACACACACATAACAGTAATAGCAGTAGAAAAAAATTCCCTTAAGCAACAACAACAAGCATTAGACACTCAAGCTCCCCCTAAATAGTTTCATATATAGCAGGCAACAACAAAGATTACTCTCCCCAAACAGTAAGACAACCCTCTCACAATGCTAATCAATATGTCAAGACATTTGAAATGACATCAGGACACACACATCAAGTTAAACACATTAACACTTCACACACATGTATACAAGCTCAACTAACAGATGGAAGAATAAAAGAACAATTAGAAACAAAAATTGGAATCACAAATCTTAATTGGAAACAAATAACTATTGATGTAAACACACAATTCTTGATCATCTTCAGGTGGTCTTCCACCTTTTACCCCTGTCAAAAATCCTTATGTACTTCTTGTTGATGTCATGTGTTTTATAAGTGTTGACACTGAATTCTCTTTCTACCACCCAAAACATGTCTTCTTCAAGCCATCCTTTTGACCTTCCAGAGATCTTTTGTTCCATCCTATAATAATAGCAACTTGCTTATGCTTATCAAGCATCAGAAAATAGAGGAATGATATATTATCTGTTACATTCCTCCATATCTGTAATTTCTATAACTCCTCATATTTGTTGTTATGATCATGCAACACCCAAGATTGAGCTTTAGAAGCCAGAAAGGCGTATGAGGTAGCCTCTACAACCGAGTACAAACCCAAGCCCCCAACTCTAATGGGAAAGAAAGCCACCATCCATTGAAGGTCCCCGAAGAAAGGATCTCCATCAACCACGATGTCTTCAACCACCTATCACAACTCTTTATCAAAACAAACATATGCTTCTATATGAGTAGGTTGACACGTTCTTAGGCCAGAAAATAATTTGGCAATACCCATGCAGGATCGAAGTAGAAGAAACTCACTCTGAGGATTCCTTAGTTGTGGTAGATGGTGCATTAAATCAATAGCCTTGAAAGCTCTCTTCTTAGACAACTCCTTAATGAAACCGTCATCCCGACTAACAACCCCTCTAAGCAACTTCATCCCTAACAGTGGCCTCCCAATTTCTAACGGGAACAGATCCTCACAAAGTTTCCTACCATCGCATGAAGGCCAAAAGATCTCAGTCTTACAAATATTCAATTCAAGACCTAATCCTGGACTTGTCCCCCAGATGATATCAAGGGCTTTATCCACCTCCTATAAATATCCTATAATAGTCCCATCATCAAGATACCAAACATGAAGAATAAGCTTTCAAATCTCCCTAATTTGATGAATGAGTGAGTGTAACACAAGAGCAAAAAAGAGCGGCCCTAACGGGTCACCTTTTTGCACTCTGGTGGCCGACATAATATGCTCATCCCTAAGATACAACCTTGTTGTTTGGCCATAAAGAAACTTAACCCACAAAGAAATAGATGGACATCTCACTCTCACCTCGCGCAATAAGGCTGGTTGATCTACCATGTTGAGAGCATTTGAGAAATCTACAGTGAGCATAGCCAAGGAACCATCTCTGTGTCGCTTTCTTAACACTATGTTGACACTAAGCAAAATGACCTCAACACCACATGATACCCCAACCCAAACTAAAATTCATTGAGGTATCGCATCATATCTTTACTGATCCCTTTCATAGCAACATTGGATACCAACCGTCTCCAAATAGAACCCATCATAATTGGTCATATCCCACTATCAGATTTTAATAACGGTGTCAATGGTGCAGAGGAAACAAAATCTGTCAAACTCATGGGACATCTTCATTCTAGCCATAAGTTAACTAGAGTGATTGGGTATAAAAGATCTTTCGCCATAATATAACCTTCTCCATATAGTACATCTAAAATATGTTGAGCACGCAAACCATCTCTACCACATAACGTCCCCTTGGGAAAGGATTTAATACACTTGAAGATAGTATCTGTATCAGTCACTAGGAGAACCTCTGAGAATAAGGTGGTCGACATGGAGGGAGGTGGTCTGTATGAGTGCTTAGCCTCCAAAGCCTTCATTGTGTGTTCATTATAGGGGGCCACACCGGATGACCCCAACACTTTTACAGTCGCTGTGAAATGGCCATCTTCAACCTTACGGAGGTTGTGCTTAACATTAGAGCTCATCTTCTTATCTTTCTCCTCAATATGAACACCCCCACTACCCGAGTTACCTTGCTTTGAGCTTCTCAACACACTATCAACTAACTTGGCAAGACTATCTGCATCTCTCCAAGTAACTAAAGACTCTAAAATATGGTGTTGCTGCAAGGACTTCCGATGTCCAGACCTGCGATCCCGCCTATTCTGAAGCTTAACCACATGTAATGTACAACGAGGGAGAAGTAACAACCAAATCCATGCACATACTTATTCCAGATCAGTAACCACCTTGTAAAGAGCATCTTTCAATGTTTTAGAGAAAGCAAGACGACAACTTAGAGGTATACTTTTCACAGTGTAGATAGGTACGATAAAAACTCTCTGACAACATTACATCCAAAACAAATTCCTCATTTGATTCGAAGTTATCTGAGTCACTTGTGGACACTCAATTATAATCTTTTAAAAAGAAAATATATGAAAGCCATTATTGGGAGAATTGCATTATCTAAAGATAGAGAAACAAATTAAAACTAAAATCATCAACATCCAAATTCACAGAATCTAAATTCCAATTAAAGTAAATGTGAGTTATTACTAAAAATTAAAATCAATTCAAATGAGTCACTACAATACTAGCACTGATTTTCTTCAATACAGATAGTTTCACTCATGCTTTTCACTTCTAAACATATTTAACCATACACTTAATTCAATATTTTAAATTATTTTCCTTAGTAATTTAGTATAATACATTATGGATGAAGAATAGTAACAGTGGTAAGAATATATATTTCTATAGGTTAAACTTGTGGGGTGGTATAATCCCAGTAAATTGAAGGAACTTTCACATAATCCATGTTCTTAAAGTTGCTTGCAAATAGCTCAGCATTAGCAGCTTCCTTGGTGTAATCAATCTCCTGAAAAATGTTATCCATGTTATGTCAACAGGATCAGATAAAGTTGAGGTTGTACAGAGAACACATGTAAACATCGTACTAGAACAAGGAAAACAATATGCAACTCAAACCCGACCCCCACCCCCAACGTACAACTATTGCTAAACGCTTATAAAAGTCATTTTATTTATATGTTGTCTAAGTTCTAACTGTTATAAAGTAATCACACCATTTGTGGTTTCAGATAAAAATGAATGGCATGTGAAATACTCGACAAGTGTGGTCATTTTACGCCATGAGCTCCTATAGCTAGCAAGTGTGATTATACAATTTCTATTATAAATACAAGAAAAACAAAACATTGATTACCAAGACTTGCAACAACTATTGGCTCATAGTCAAACCGATCAAATATGCCAGCTATAGGAGCTCTAAGCTCTTCCTCAACAATAGCCATGACAGTCTCCGAGGGAAACGGAGGGACTAGATCCTAAACCTAAAAAGCATGTAATTAAAACCTCGGAAATACAACCTTAATATGATTTTCTCTTTTTGATTAAACCTTTTTAGTTTTTCCATGGTCGATATGATTTTCAAGTTATAATAATAACTAAGTTTTAACAAATATTATGGCGTATTCATTATTTTCATAGCATTGACCAAAGCAGAAAAGAATTATCCTATATTCGTGGGAACCCGTCCGAACCTGTCATGAATTTGACATGGTAATATAACCTATCTTCGTGGAAATCCGCCCGGATCTGTCATGAATTTGACGGGGAAAATTCATTTTGACTGGATTTAGGTTCGGGTTTGAGTTTTTTTCGATTTCAAGATATAGGGACAAGATGGGTAATGGGGAGTGTAATACTCACCCCGAACCCACCCCTTTTATTATTATTGTTATTATTATTATTATTATTATTATTATTATTATTATTATTATTATTATTATTATTATTATTTAACAATATATGCCGCTACAGTATCACAATTATATGCCGTTACAGTATCACAATTTGTTAAATCTATCTATTGTTATAGTTTCTTGGTTTTAGAAAAAAAAATATAAGTGATAACGTAAATGCATAAGAGCAATGACTGACATTTAAAAAAATATAGTTGGCAGTGGTATTTTTAGAAAATTAATATTATATTTTTAACCTTTTCACTTCTCAATTCTCATTGTATTCACTATAGGCTTTTGGCTATATCAATTAAAAGACTTTTAACATTCCAAAAATAAATTTTAATGATTCAAATTTCAGAATCGGTCTTAAGATAACTTCTATCTCTTTTACTATTTCAAAAGTCTAACTCACTATCTTTAAATTTTTCTTTTCCCATTTCATTTAAAGCCATTATCAACATCACTCACCATTTTGAGTCTTGACATCCCTCATTAATATTATTTTTAGTGTAAGTATTATTCTTCTTATTTTCTTTTTTTATTTATAAATCTTAAATCTTTATTGTGGTTGTAGTCTTGTAGATGAATGTGATTATTGTAAGCAATATATTCTTCTTAGTTTTTTCATTGATGTGTTCTATTTGCAACACTAATATTTGTGTTACTGAACTGTTGTGAGTCAAGTTATGGTCAGTGACTGATTCTGTGAATATTTGTTTCATAGTGAATAGACATCAGTTCATGTTTTATTTGTGTTTCTAATGAATCCGATTGTATGTTTAAACAATTTGACAGGAGATAAACATGAAAAATATTGGTAACATTGATCCACTTGTTTCACAAGATAGTGCACACCAACTAGCTCCCTGTATGGAAGAAAATTTCAACTCTTCGCTTAATGGTCGGACACCACCGACGCAAATAGTTGAAACACCTAATAATGAGACAACTGGTAAAAAAGATACAAGTGATAATATAGAAGCATTGGTAGAAACAAAGGAAGGAAGACTTAGGAGTAAGGCTTGGGATCATTTTATAAAGGTGAAAGTTAATGGCGAGGATAAGGCTCAATGTAAATATTGCAAGAAATGTCTTGGTGGAAAATCGAGCAATGGAATGAAACACTTACTTCAACATATGGAGACATGCATTCATCGCAAAATTCATGAGAACAAGATTACAAAAGGACAAACATTTCTCATGCCAAAGAGCTCACAAGGAAAGCAAGAATTAGGAGTTGGTACTTATAATACTGAAAATTCAAGGAAAGAGCTTGCATGTGCAAGAATTATGCATGAGTATCCACTTTCAATTGTAGATCATATTGGTTTTCGATAATTTGTTGCTTCTCTACAACCATTGTTTCATGTTCCTTGTAGAAATACTATCAGGAAAGAGATATTTAAAGTGTATGAGTTTGAGAAGACAATAACTTCAAAGTTATTAGATAGCCTTCAATCAAGAGTGTCAACTACTTCAAACATGTGGACTTCAAATAATCAAAAAAAGGGGTATATGGATGTTACTGTATATTATATTGATGGATCTTGGAATTTGAAGAGTTGCATCTTAAGGTAATTACAATTTTGTATGTCTACTTTAAGCATAAATATAATATGTTAGCTTCACTTATATCATATTTTGAATTTTATTATATGCTAGGTCCATTTATATTCCTGCTCCTCATTCAAGTGATAGACTTTATTCTGCTTTAGTTAAGTGTTTAATGGACTGAAATATCGATACAAAATTGTCAACTATCACTTTAGATAATTATAGCATAAATGATGTTGTGATGGACAAAATTAAGGAGAAGTTGCATTTAAATACTTTGTTGAGGGATGGATCTTTACTTCATATGCGTTGTTGCATACACATATTAAATTTGATAGTAAAGGATGGCTTAGAAGTAGTGAAAGATGGAATAGAAAAGATTCGGGACAGTGTAGCTTATTGGACCGCAACTCCTAAAAGAAAAGAAAAATTTGAGGAGACAGCTAAGCAATTGCGAATTTCTTGCACTAAAACTCTAAGTTTAGATTGTCCAACTAGATGGAACTCCACTTATAAAATGATGGACATTGCTATTTTATATGAGGATGTAATTAGTCGATTAAGGCTACGTGACACTCGATACACTTGTGTTCCAACTAGTTCACAATGGAAATTTGCAAAAGATGTTTGTGAAAGATTAGAGTTGTTCAATAAGATCACTGAAATCATTTCGGGCACTAAGTATCCCACTGCCAATATGTTTTTTCCTGAGATTTGCAAGATTAAATTGGCAATATTTGATTGGATTAACTATTCCAATTTATCGATCAAAGAAATGGCTAACAAGATGTTGCAAAAATTTGATAAATATTGGAGTGTCACCCATGATATAATGGGGATTGCTAGAGTTTCGGATCCTAGGTACAAAATGGAGTTACTTGAGTACTATTATGAAAAATTGTATGAAGAAGACTCTATTGAGAAAGTTAAGAGGTTTAAACAACTATGTTATGAATTGATTGTTGATTATCAATTGAAGTTCAACCAAGAGAGTTGTGGTGACTCACCAATGTGGGAATCTAGTCGTGTGGCTAATGATGGTTTAGATGATTATGATGCATATGTTCGGAAGAAGAAAAAAAGCTAGAACTTCATATGTTAAAACAGAATTGGATCATTATTTGGAAGAGGAAGTTTTACCGCGAAGTCCTGATTTTGATATTCTATTATGGTGGAAGTTAGATGGCATCAAATATCCAACAGTCCAAACAATTGCAAAAGATGTTTTAGCAATTCCTATTTCTCCAGTAGCTTCAGAATCTGCATTCAGTACTAGCAGGTATATTTTAAACCCGCATCGCAGTCGACTTCATTGGACAACTTTAGAGGCTTTAATGTGTGATAGAAGCTGGTTATGGAGTACTGAAAATAGTGGTAAGCTTTTATAATATTTTGTCAAGTTTTATAGGTTAATTATAAAATCCAATATACTTCCTCTTTATTAAATATGATACGTATTGTTGTCACTGTCCAAAGGCCATAAAGTTTGCCTTTACAATTTGTTTAACATTACATAGAAACTTTTTAAAATTATAGGATATCTATCTTTTCTATGGTGTTTATTATTATTATTCATGTATCAATACAACAGTAAAATAAATATAGGTTAATTATAAAAACAAGTATGTTAGGAGTATTTGTAAAATGATATATAATTTCGTATTTGTTAATTGATTATTATTTATATTGTACTGTGTTTCATATTTTTAGATGGTATGAGTTCTAAGTTAAGCAATGACTACACTACTTTACTCAATGAAATAGAGCCCGATAAAGAAGGTAAAATTTTCCTTTGAGTAACTAAGTTTTGACTTGTATTCTTATTTATTGTTAATGTTTGTATTTTAATTTGTATTTTTTTATATAGGTGAAATATTAACTAGTGGTATTATTTTCCTCTTTGAAGATGAAGAATAGCATTTAGAGAAAGAAAGAAGACAATATTGGTGTTGGCTGTAACACCCCAATTCTACCCGTCAAAATTAATAATAAATCAGAGTAATAAAATTTCATAAACAAATTGAGGCATCACATATTCATGGTTTTCACTTTGCAATATAATGCATCATCAAAATAATCAAAAGTCGGATATACCGATCATGTCATCATACATCACATAAGCATATAAATATGCACAAGGCAGCGGATACATCATCGTCTATGCCATATAAGAGCATATACATCAACAAAATAATCATGTCATATTATAAACATAATCCACATAGTTATCAGGATATACAAGTATGATATCCTAATTGTGGGATTTTGGATCGAACTCTAGCATGATCGAAGTACATGCTGTAGTCGAAGCATGTATTTGTCGAAGAATGCTTGTTAAATTAGGTTTTAGTGTTTAAACCCTAATTTGTTAAGTTAGCTTGATTATTAAGTTAGTTTGTATAATGGGCCTTGTGGAAAAAGCCCATTAGTGAGTATGTTAGGTTTTATTATAAATAGCATACTAGTCTCTCATCATTGCATCACAGCAAATCCTAATTTAGGGTGAGAGGGTTATTCGTTATTCTTGTAAACTTGTAATCTTGTTTTCTAAGAGAAAGTAAAGAATAGTAGTTATAACCAATTCTTGTGTTCTTCTTCTTCCTTGTTTGATATTCCTCTATTATTCTATACTTTGTTATTGGCATTGAATTCACAACAAATTGGTGCGGTGAGCGTGGAGAAGATGCCTTCAACAAAATATGAGACTGAAAAGTTCACCGGAGTGAATGATTTCGGTCTATGGCGCTTGAAGATGAAAGCCCTACTGGTTCAGCAGGGTTGTTTGGAAGCGTTGAAGGGAGCGACGACGATGGACGCTGCGTTAACAGAAAGAGAGAAGACGGCCATGATCGAGAAAGCACACAGCGCAATTTTGTTGAGCCTTGGTGATAAGGTTCTTCGACAGGTATCAAAGGAGACGACGGCATCAGGGTTATGGGTGAAACTTGAAAGTTTGTATATGACCAAATCTCTGGTAAATCGACTCTACCTGA